TGATCAAACACCCATCCCTCCACCAGTGCCCATTTCCCACCACCACGGATCCCAGTATCCCTCCCACCCCCTATCCCCCCATCCCACCCCGCCTCTGCGGCAGGGCATTCCCTTTTGTTCTGAGACAGAGCTCTTTGAGGATCTCTACCAACCCCACTTTCCCTTGGATCTGCATCCTTGCAACCAGGGTGACTCTAAGACCTGGAGAAAGAGTTCCAGATGGCCTAATGCATTGAGTTAAAGCAGACCTTATTCTGAGGATATGTTGCAAAGTACACTGAAATCTTTGCTTTATAAAAGTGAAAAGGAAAGTATTGACATCTCTAAGCCCAGCACTGTTTTTTTAACAAGCTAGAAAATACTGAAAAATAAGTAATGCCATTTTCTCAGGAGAATGCACTATAGCTAGAATGTACGCAATTTTTTTCCCCACTGTGTATTTGGGTAAAATATGGGCACTGAAATTTCAGGCCAAATCCTAATGCAGAAATAATCCAAAACATGGCAGATTTATAAGTGAGGTGATTTTTATTTATTTGCTAATGTGGATTCCCTTCGGAGCTCAAATGTACATGTTACTTACAGCTTCTTGTGGAAAAGACTTACCTCTAAGGTCTCAGCAGCATAAAACTTCAGACTGCAGAGTTGTCTGAACCAACTCGGCCATAATTCTCCTTTGCCACAGACTCAGGGTGGTTTGAATCTACTAGCACTCTACCTGTTTGGCAATTCACAATTCATAATTAAACTGGCAGTCTGAATAAATCATTGTGACTGGAGACCCGGAGCTTGCTTTCTCTGTTGTCCTTCCTTTTATTCGGAAAATCTGAAAGAACCCTGAGAAGGGGTTAGGACCAAAGCTCCCTTAGCTTTGTTTGCAGTCCTCTTTTTAAACAAAATGTTGTTTTCAAAGAGGAATCAGCTTTGTCCACCTTGAGTCTGGCACTGAAGAGCTGGACACGGTGGATTCCCTCCCCCATCCTCATCCTAACACACCTCTCACTCTCTCAATAGACAGGCAGGAACCAGGAGACTGGAACACCATGTGGCAATGGGAATTTTGAATACAATGCCGTGGGCAGAGGTAGTGGTGGAAAGATGGGGAATTTCACTTTCAGGATTTGACAAGAGTGTTGGGCAATCTGCACAGGACAGGCGATTTTTGAGGGTCTAGAAAGTAGAATCAAAGCTATTCCTCAGAAAATAATGAGAAGATGAGGAAGCGATTAAATATTTAGATTTTTGCAAGATCCAAGGAGCGTGGGGGTTCTGTGTCTGCTGTCTTTAGTGGTAGCAGGGACTATGCCTAAAGTGAAGCAATGCCAGTAGGTCAGAGATTAGACAGCAGAGGGCCGGGGTCATGCAAGCACGGTTGGGGATTAATAGTGGGCTAATGTTGGACTTTGCTGACTAAAGGAGTAAGACAGGGGATGAAAGCAGATGACATAGTTGCCTAGGGTTCACTCCCACCACATGGAAAGGAGAGACTAAGGATCCTGAGTGCTCCAGGTGAGAAACTTGCAACTGACCTTTGAGAATGAGCACAACCCCAGTCCAGTCAATGGGGGAGAGAAAGAAGAGTTGACCAGGAATCTGGACATTTCCTAGCAGAAAATTTTGAGGATGGGGGCCTGGAGGTAGTGCAAGCGAGAGAACAAATCCACATGTCCTGCCATCTTTGCTGTGCTAAAGGGAGACGTTGCAGCCCAACAAAGGCTGAGGCTTCATTGTGATTGTTGGTATTTCTGCCATCCTCATGGCTGGCAGCAGTCATCTATGTTCCCCCAGTGCCTTCTTTATCAGACACTCTGCTGAGACATGGCAAGCCTCAGCACAGTGAGTTCAGGTCACCTAGAGCCCACAGGTGTGGAAGCCCCAGCTGCAGGAGGTGAAAACAGTTTTCTTTTCCCAAGATCATTCAGCAGGGAAGCAGCTGGTCTCCACAGCTCTATTCTTAAGCAGAAAGATTGATTGAGGAAGCTCATGGTCCCCAAAGAGACAGAGAGGAGAGATTTGTGGTGGAGACAAGAAAACAGAACACCCTCACTGGCAAATCAGAAAACACTTCATTGAGATTTTTTGTTTTGCTCTGTTTTGCATTTTGGGTCACACCTGGGGTTACTTCTGGCTTCTCACTCAGGAATTACTCCTGGCAGTGCTTGGAGGACCATATGGATTGCTGGGAATTGAACCCAGGTCAACTGCGTGCAAGGCAAACACCCTACCTGCTGTGCTATCGCTTCAGCCCCATTTCATTGAGTTTTATGGGAGATTTATGTATATGTGGGGGGAGGAACAGGGTTGGGCCACACCTGGCCGTGCTCAGAGATGACTCCTGGTGCTGTACCCAACAGTCACTCCTGGTGGTATTCAAGGGGTCATATATGGTGCTAGAGTTCAGAACGAGATTGGCTGCATGCAAAACAAGTGCCTTAACCCAGGTACTATCTCTCCAGTTATAGAGCATTTTCGTTTTTGTTTGAATTTGTTTTTAATTGTGTTTTATGATTTTTTGAATGAATAGCAATATCCTGTAAAGTGTGAAAGTATTTCTAAGAAGGCCAACTTGGGAAAAGGCAAAAGATTTAAAGGAACTTGAAATGACAGCTAATGTGGTATGCATGAATGAATTATTGGGGGAAAGGGCTGAACCGTGGTCATTTTCTGCTTCATCGTTTTCTGCTTCAGTCAGCCAGTCTGGTCAAAGGTCCACTGTCCACTGTCCTCCCGTTGTTCATTAATTTGCTCGAGCGGGCCCAGTAACATCTCCATTGTGGCAATTGTTACTGTGTTTGGCATATCGAATACATCACGGGTAGCTTGCCAGGCTCTGCCATGCAGGCGAGATACTCTCGGTAGCTTGCCGGGCTCTCCGAGAGGGGTGGAGGAATCAAACTCGGATCGACCATGTTGGCTGCGTGCAAGGCAAATGCCCTACCCGCTGTGCTATTGCTCCAGCCCTGGTCAAAGGTATGGGCAGGAAATGCTCAGGACTGCTGTTTTCCTTTTGGTTTTGTCTTTCAGTCAACCATCAGCAATGCCCTGTTCCCCAATTCCTTAGTTCCCTCCACTGCACATATGACACCATATCTGTAGGATAATAATTGATTTGTCCTTTTCTCCCTCGCTACAAGGAACTTAGGTTTATCAGGTTATACCCATCACAGTGCTCCCAAGTCACTCTCATTCCTTTTGTTTATCTATAACCCTTTCTATGCTCTCTACCCCAACCAGTTAATCAGCTTTTCCCCTAGTCAGAATCTGTTAATTTGTAAGGTCAGATCCTTCTAGGACACTGAACTTAAATTGTAACTTGATATTGCCTTTCTCCTCTCCTTATGTCTTTTGAATAAGGTAAAGGTAAAGGCCCTCCCGTTGATCGTCGATTTGCTCGAGCGGGCCCAGTAACGTCTCCATTGGAGACTTTGTTGTTACTGTGTTTGGCATATCGAATACTCTCAGTAGCTTGCCGGGCTCTCCGAGAGGGGCGGAGGAATCGAACTCGGGTCGGCCATGTTGGCCGCTTGTAAGGCGAACGCCCTACCGCTGTGCTATCGCTCCAGCCCTCCAGCCCATAGTTTAATGCAATGTCCTTTTTGTATAGATACAGGAAGACAGTTGATATTATGCTCTGTCACTTAGGATTTAATTGGCTTTGAATATTATTCATTCCCGGGCATCTGCTTTCTCAACTTAAGGCTCAGTTGCCCTCACTTCCTAGCATCCCCAAAAGCAAGGTCCCAACGAGGGACTGAATGGAACCAGGGTAAGTGGGTAAGCTATGTGCTACCCTGGCATCGAGATGGGCCAGGCCAAAGTGCCACGATTCTTAACTACAAGTTAGGAGTTTGATCATAGACAAATGCTGTCATGATCCAAAAGTAACGATGAGAGTAGAAATCTGCTAGGGATAGGAAAGATTATCTGTCCTGAGCACTGTAGTCTGAGATCAAGATGGCCCTAGAAGAGCAATTCCATAAGCTTAAAGTATTTCTTACTGTGTCCATACAAAATGATTTATATTATGTACGCTTATATGTTTGTTGGACAAGGAGAGGAGAAACACACCCAGGGATTCCGTTCTAGGGTGGGTCGATCTGCTAAATGAGAATCTGTCCTAGAAGCAGCTTTCCTGTGTGTCCTGACTAGTTTGGATGAAGCTGAACATTTCTCCCCTTCAAACTGCCTTCAGAAAAATTATTTCAGTATATTGTAAGAGGCAGTTTTTTTCTCACAGAAACCTGGCTGGTCTTTGACATGCAGATCTCAGGTGCTAGCCAGGCAGGATCTTTGGGATATAGATTCCAAGCTCTAGCAGACTAGTCTTTAAGATGCAAATCCAAGTGCCTGTAGCCCAAGAAAGGTTTCAGTCTTGATTTTGTATCTTCTTTCCAGAGGCCAAAATTACTGGCCTGCAGATATAAAGAAACAATGTATGTTTTGCTGCCTCAATGTTCTTTCTGTATCTCCTTTTGATGACATCACTGCACTGCGCCCTTTGGATGTACCATGATCTATATAAGGAGATTTGGGGTCTCTCTACCAGGGGATGGCTTGAGAGAACCTGGGCCCTCCATGGCATAAATTTCTTTTATGGGATATAATGAGACTGTAAGAGGGAGGCAGGGGAGAGACAGGAGTGAATGGAGAGAGGATTGGAATAAACTGCAACTAAGACGAACCATCCTGGTCCTCGTATCCTTCCTTCGCCTGCCCATCGTCATCAACCTCCCTGGAGTGGGGAAACGGCCTGAGACTACTGACTGCGGGTGGTGGGAGAGATAGACCACTGCCGTCCTTTTGTGTTTACACACATACCCAGCTGCTTCTGCTCACCGGATACAGAGCATGACCACCCTCCAAGCACCTCATGCATCTCACAGTTCCTGCTGATATTAACAGGACAAAAGTCACACGCTGCACATCCTTTTGGGTTAGCACTTCTTTCTGAGCAGGAAGAACAATTTGATCTCTTTTTTTCTCTCCTCTTTTTCTTACAGTCCCTCCCCAGATCATGAATATCTCCTCAGACGTCACCGTGAATGAGGGGAGCAGTGTGACACTGCTGTGTCTTGCCATCGGCAGACCTGAACCCACAGTCACCTGGAGACACCTATCAGTCAAAGGTAAGACATAGCCCTGGATCAAATGTCCTGTTGGGGTGACCCAAACCTGGGTTCTGATCTGTCATTGAGCTCTCAGAATCACAAATCTGGATTGCACAGAAACACAGGGACATAAAACAAATTGGCCTATGAGTCTGTCACTAAAGCATCCCACTGCCAAGGACAGGTTTGTAGAGAAAGATCTCAATTATCTTCCCAGCTTTCTTTAGAATTATAGAAGAATTTGATTTTTTCCTATTATAAAAACAAGAAGTGCCAGAACAACTGCATTTAAGAGAGATGGGTTCTATTTCCTCAAGGTGGCCATGCGGGGCCCATCAGTGCCTTGTTTTTCCTTAAAGGTGGGTATGAATGCTACAGTGGGTGTTGAAAATTTCCTTGCAATTGTGCAGTTGGAGAAAAATTCCTTACATAGTGTTTGACCACCCCGAGCCACGTCTGTTTAACCTTTGTGTAAGTAGTCCACTTGGGGTTGAAAAGAGGATGACAGAAACAGGAAAAGCCACCCAGGCATGCGTGTGTGGAACACTCAATTTTGGTGTTAAAATATTAACTATGATCATCTCCAACCCCTGGGAAGGGGCCCCCTGAGACTGATCCTCTAGGAATTAAAACTTACTCTAACTTGACCATGAAGAGTTTGGCACTAAGCCACTGGATACATTTTTTTTTCTGTTACTGGAAACTAAGATTAATGCTAATATTATCCAAGAAATAAGTGCCCAGAGCATAGGAAAAATATCCCAGTAAATAGAAAAATCTTCAGAGTATGTCTGTGTGTGTTGTAAAAATAATAAGTATCTAGAGAAAAACTCAGGGCTAAATCTTAGCTTGAAATTGGCAGCGATGAGCTAGCATACCAAATGCTCCAACGATAGGCATTTGCTTTGTGCTTTTTCCTTGTGGCAGCTGAATCTAAAGGCTACGCACTGGTGTCTGGAAAGGCACAGGTGTAGGCTGTCATAGTCCTGAAGGATGGGTGTCCAAGGGGAGGTACAAGACCAGCTCTGTTTCTTCAGAGGATCCTGAGGGGTTGTTGTTCCTATGCCCACCTCACCTTCTGTTGGGTAGTGGACTGTATCTGACTTCTTGACCTGGCGGGACCTCCTGTCAGTCTCTGACTTTATGCATGACTTTGTGCCCGTGCTGTGCCTCTTTGTGTTCATTCTGCCCTTTGAATGCTGCACCCAAAATAGTGGGTGAGAACCTATAGTCAAGTCATTTTAACTGGGTTACCTTGATAAAGATTTCCAGGTTCTGTCATATGGTGACACTGGGGTGAAGAGTGCAGGGTATCATTTAGGGAGGTGGTGATGGTGGTGAAATTCAAATCAAAAACCAGATTTGGTCAAAATTAACCCAAATGCCTTAGACTGGGACAAAGAATGCATGCACGCGCACGTGTGTGTGTGTGTGTGTGTGTGTGTGTGTGTTTAAAATAAATAAAATCTTAAAATATTTTAAAATAAAATGAAATATTTAAAATAGTCTCCTGCCCCCGTGCCTGGCTGTCCTCACCGGGGTCCCTTGGAGGGGGGAGGATTGAGTTTCTCTCTCCCCTCCGCCCACCCCAAGCAGAGCCCCAGCAGCTGAGGACCTCTGGAGCCAGCCATGGCCATGCTGGAACCACTCTCCACACGTCCAGATGGGCCTCATGCATGAAAGAACTGGCAGAGAAACCCAGGCATGCGGGTCCTGGGGCTGAAGTCTCCAAGCCTACTTGGATTGAGACTGGGCCTTCTCCACCCAGACTCCCCATCTTCCAGTAGGTAGGCGTCACACCCACCAGCTGTTGACAGCACTGGTCCTATCAACGGCCAAGATGCAGAGACTATAAAACCCAGCTCCTGAAAGCGTGTGGCCACATTGGCGGCCACGCGACATCTTATTATCTTTCCTTTGGAGAACCTGGCAGACTACAAAAAGTATTCTGCCCGCACGGCAGAGTCTGGCAAACTTCCCGTGTCATACTCAATATGCCAAATACCAGTAACAATGATGGGTCTCATCCTCCTAATCCCGAAAAAGCATTGAAATGGCTCTTTTAAAATCTCAGGGCTAGGTAGAAGGAGATGTTCCTGGTGCCTGCTCGAGACAATCCATGAGCAACAGGGTGATCGTGATTTAAAATAGCATGTTTAAAGTAATGATACCCAAGGGAATGGATTAATAATTATTATTTCTAGAACCTCACCTTAAAATAAACAAAAGTTTGGGCTAGAACAATAATACAGGGGGTAAGGCATTTGCCTTGCAGGCTGCCAACCCAGGTGGAATCCCTGGCATTATAAGTTTCCCCTAGCACCACCAGGAGTGACCTCTGAATGCAGAACAAGGATTAAGCCTGAGCACTGCTGAGTGTGGACCCAAACCCAAACGAACAACAAAAAAATAAAAGTTTCTACAAAGGATGTTAAAGAAATAAAAATCAACACATGAAAATGTGTTCGACACTTAAACATTAAAATTAAACCATAACGAGAGATGCTTCATTACCTCATGAATGGCAAATACTTAAAAACCGACAGCATCTTGTATGGATGAGGATATGGAACAACTGAAATTCTTACATCTTATGTCTGGGGATGTACAATGATACAATCAATTTGATTTTCTATTACATGAAAATATATTATAAAATCTATTCTATTAAAATCAGTCTGATACTCTATTACAAAGCAAATGTAAGGTAAAGGTAAGGTAAAGGCCCTCCCGTTGATCGTCGATTTGCTCGAGCGGGCCCAGTAACGTCTCCATTGGAGACTTTGTTGTTACTGTGTCTGGCATATCGAATACTCTCGGTAGCTTGCCCGGCTCTCTGAGAGGGGCGGAGGAATCGAACTCGGGTCGGCCATGTTGGCCGCTTGTAAGGCGAACGCCCTACCGGCTGTGCTATCGCTCCAGCCCCACAAAGCAAATGTATGACCCAGCAATTCCACTCTTAGGCATTTCCCAAAGCTGAATGGAAGCATGTATCTACAAATATATCATTCATATATTTTAACATTGATTTCATTCTCATAGACTCAGACTACAAAATGAAAAGCCAGCAGGAAAACAATTCCCCCATCAAATGGAAACGAACCATTGGCACGTTCTCTCAATGGATAAATCTCAAAAGCAGTAGCTGAGCCAAATTAGTCAGATGTAAAGTCACACAAACCCAGTGATTTTTTGTATATGAAATTATAGGATAGGCAAGATGCCTCTATAGTGATTGGAACCAAATCTTCCATCACCTAGAGGAGATATCTTTTTCAGTGAATTTATTGCAAAAGAGAACAAGAGAATTTGGTGGGAGAGAAAATTAAAATGGTTTACATCTGATAGTGGGGTGATGGTCACTTTGCTATTTATATTAATCAAAATAAGCCAACTGTGCTTTAAAACTAGGTGCATTTTATTATATATAAACTAAATCTCAACATCATGATGAAATTTGAAAGGGGATTCATGTAGGAAAAGAGCATCTAAAATCTTCCCCATAATTTGGAACATTACTTATATGAGTGGCATTTATCAAATGGAATTCTGAATTTGTTACTCAAAGCCTTCTTGAAACCCATGAACTCATTTCCTCAATATAAATTTAAAATACACCATTCATTCCTGCCTTGTTATTGGAAACGATAATGCTAATAAATTCACAGAGTATTCCTTATATAAAGACCTCAGATATTGAACACCCAAATGTCAATATTGTAAAGTAATATTAACAAGAATATTAAAATAGGTATGATGGACATTGCCACATTCAGCCTTTATATAAACACATTAGCTTGTGTTTCCAAATACTTAAACCCTACATGAAATTTTAAAATAAGAGAAATAAAATAAGAGAATTTGGGACCTGGAAAGATAGTCCAGGGGGTTTAGGCACTTGCCTTGCATGTGGTTGACCTGGGTTCAACCCCAGGAACTCCAAATAGTCTCCCCAGAGCAGCCAGTAGTGACCATTGAGTGCAGAGCCAGAAGTAAGCTCTGAGCACCCCAGGTATGGCCCCAAAACTAATAAAAGTAATGAAAAAATATTTATATCCAAAATATATCTTTGTGCCTAACCAATTTGTATGTATTTACTGAAGTCAAATAACCTTTATAAACACTTGAACTCTCAGAAATCTTTTATTTAATCTAAAAACCTACTTCTAGAAGTCTTTTAAAAAGCATTTTGACTTTGGTAAAATGTTTTCAAGGAATTCTTTATAATGTCGCACTGGTTTCCATTTTGAAATAAAGGAGATCCATTCATCTCTCCGGTCTTACCTGAAATGCAGTGATTGCATCAAGTCTCAGAAAATCCTAACCTTGAGTGACCCCTGCCCTCTTGCAATCCTCTGGAGATTGTGTTCAACTTCCAAGTTGCCTTTCGCATTCTCCAGTCCCGGCTTCTGGGTCACTTTCCTCTGTCCTGTTAGCTTGCCCCAGCATCTATCCATTGATAAGAGTTGAAACATTCACATTCAAGACATTGTTTCTCTTGTTGAAATTCTCTGGTTTACATAATATTCATAATGGTTTCTCATGCACATAATTCCACACCTATCACCAGTGTACCCCCTCCCTCTTCCAAAGACCCCAACACCCCTTCCTCCAGCCCTCCCACACAAGCCAATTGATGGGTCAGTTCTCTATTATGTTGCCTTTGGACTTTTGTTATGTTGTGTATCTTTGCTGTGTATCTTTAAGTTCCACATATGAGAAAGATCATTCTATATCTATCCCTTTCCTTCTGACTGACTTTACTCAGCCCGATATCCTCTTGTTCCATCAATATTGCTGCTAATTGCATGGTTTTGTTCTTTCTTAGAATAAATAAGTTTGTTCTAGGAAATTTAGAGCTGCATAGTATTCCACTGTGTATATATACCAAAACTTGTTGATCCATTCATACATAGTTGCCACTTGGATTGTTTCCATGTCTTGGCTGTTGTACTAAATGAAGCAGATAATTTTTAACTTTGTTTCTTATGTTTGAGAGGTGTTAGAACCAAGAACCT